GAGAAGTGTATCCGTTTTATGATATATTTCTGGTCTCTGATTCTGGCTCAAGTAATGCTACTATTGCCAAGAAGATTTCACTTGTAAAGTAGATTTAATTTTCATTATATTTTACCATATACTTCTCCATTCATGACATCTCTTGAGATGTTGTGGCTTATATTTTCAGTTTTTCTCCAGTCCATCAGCAAATATCAGGCATCTACTGTGTTCCAAGATATTAAAGAAATCATCACAACTTAGCCTCATCAACAGCCAGCATTGCTAGATCTGGGATGGAGAGGAAGAGTACAAGCCTGGCAGTCAGGAAGAAGGCAGCATAAAATTTAGGTACTTCCAAAGAAGGTCTCTCATCAGCCTGTAGGGAGTGTATAGGGAGGGGACAGCTGTCCTTGTAGTAGAAGGGCTTTTTTCAGGTCATCTGGGCTCCATAATATCCCTGTGTATCTGCAGTTTTCCTTTGCTATGGATCAACACAATAGGAAATCTTCTGGCACCAATGTTTTTTCTACGAGGAAGTTCTTCATGGAGCAAAGCAAATGACTACCCAGGTTTGAGGACCTGATTTGTTTGAGGATTCCATTTTGTATTATAAATTACTTAATTTGCATTCTAGTCCCAATCCATCTTGTTATTTGCATACAGTGTTTATGGGGTTTAATTGAGCCATACCAAAAGTCTGAACCTTCTGCACTTAGAACAAGCCAGCCACCAAGCTTCACTTGCACTCAGTAGGCAGTGTCTCCAGTGGAAATGAGGTAGCTTGCTTGCAGGAGCTCTCCAACGCAGGGAAGTAGAACTCCTGAGTCACCTCCAAATGCAAATGATTTCACAGTAATACTGTTGAGCTTTGCTTCCCATCACAGTAAATGTGTGGTAACGGCTTCTCCACAGAGTTTACTCATCATGGAATTTTAAAGGTGAAATATTTTGAAACCGAAATTTGAAAGAATTTAGTTTTGGATTAACTCAATGATCATTATCACTTTGGGGTTACTGTACCTTTCCATGTTTGTGAGTTTAAATACCAGACTTTCAGGCCTCTAACTTTCAATGAAAAGTATTTTTCTTTAATCGCTGAACCTAATAACAGGGAAAATGAAATGTTCATCAGACTTTCAGGACCTTCAATGAGATTAGGCAGCTGAAAGATCACAGTGTTGCATAGTTATCCCACTAAAGCTATTTGGATCATATGGACCAAATAGCAACCACTGTCATTCCCCACCAACCCCTTCTCTCCCCCAAATTCCCAGCTCTGTTTAAGTGTTCTCTGTAGCATTTATGTCTATCTAGTATATTGTGTAGCATATCATATCATACTTTTCTATTTTGTTTATTGTCTCTCTCCTCCTCCTCCTAGAACATAAACTCTACAAGCACAGAGATTTGGGTCTGTTTTACAATATTGTTGTATCCCCAGGGCTTTGGTGTATAGCAGAGTAGTAGTGCAACAAGAGCATACAAAAAATATTTGTAGAGTCAATGAATGAATAATTTCCTCAAATAGGATTAACCTAAACTTTTGGAAACATGAACAGATTTGGATATGTAAAAATTTATTTCCAAGACTGTTCATCAGGAACTGTTGGTACCTTCTAAAGGGTACACTGAAGCAGCAATAATAAAAAGAGGAGGAGGAGCAGTTCTGCTAGTAGTATTGACTACTACTACTATAATTACCCTGTACAACACTCTGCCTAAATTAGTTCATTTCTTCCTGAAAATGACTCTATGGGGTAGGTGCTTCATCATGTAAGATCAATATTTTTCACATTTTACTGTCTCTGAAATCTGAGTGTGTCTTTCAGTGATGGAGTCTTTGATTCCATGATAAGTGGTATTACCTCCATTTTAAGGATGAGGAAACAGAGGTCCAAAGAAATTAAGTAATTTGCCCAAATTCATGCAGATAGTAAATGATAAAGCTAGTTCTAAATCCAAGCAGATTAGCTCTGACGTCTGAGACTTAATAACCACGTTTTATTGTCTGTATTTGTACCTCTGGTGTGTGTGTCAAGTTATATATTGGCTTCAAAACTACCATGACCTTTTCTTGGTTTTGACTGTCCAACATTAGTATAGTATACTCTATGGTAAATATATAGAGAGAGTATAGTATACTCTATGGTTAAAAATACTAGCATATAGTATACTCTAGTATACTCTATGATAAAAGTATGTAATATATAGTGTTCTATAGTGTTTAAAATATATGCTATATAGTGTTATAGATCTAGTAAACCAGGGGTCTGCAAAAAATTTTAATTACTCACCTCATCTGTAAAACATTTTAAACTTAATGTGTGTGTGTGCATGCACATTTGTGTGTAGTTATAAAAAATTTACTTTTTATTAACATATAGGTTGTTACCATAAGAAATTGCCATTTTTGAAGAGCAAAAGAGGTTGTATATTACCATTTTCATCTGATTCAACATAATAGACATTTATACAAAAACAGACATTTTAAGAGGATAAAATAAAAATTTAATAAACAACATTTTAATTCTTAGTAATTGTGATGCTTCACTATCATTAGTTAATATGTCAAGGCATAATATACCTACGTGAAATATATCATTAACAAAGGTGGATGGTGTCAATAATATTGAGATTTTTTTTTAATAATACTGTGAGGTCTAATTAAGTACTTATTGTTTATAAGTACTTATTGTCTATTAAGTACTTATTGGCTGATAAAAAGTGTTACTTCTGCTGTTTCCTCTTGGGTTGCGCTTGAATCATTAGTATTATCTTCAATCCTCTGTTTCTTTGTAGGAAACTTTTTAATTAGTTGTTTAATTTCTTAAGATGGTTAGTTTAGTCAAAATTAGGTAAGAGAATTTGAAAATCCATAACTACCCCAAAGCAACCCACTCATAAAAACTGTTATTTTTGTGTTTTGAAATCGTAATTATACTGATTTTTAGTGTTTCCACTGGTAGTGGTTTCATTGATTTAGGAGTACCAAGACATCACTCATTATTTATTTGTTTTGTTTGATCCTAACTGCTTTGTATTAACTCTCTGTGAAGAAATTACATCACAGATCTATTGTTGTCTTTGGTAAAGGATTGGAGAGTTAAGGCTCTAGATCATTAGTGATTACACTACACTATCAGGAGTAAAACAAAGATTCTACCAACAAAATAAGAACATGTTAAAGTACTTGTAATGAATAAACACGAGTAAAGCTCTTATGCTATATAAATGCACTAAACAATGTACTAGAATTGTCAGCAAACTGGGTATCTTAATCCTAGAAGGGTCCCAAACCAGTGATCTAAAATTGAATCAAACTTTCTTCCTTCGGCATAATAATTATTTAAATGATTTATTAAAGTAGCCAACATTTAAAAGCTTAAAAAATAAGTATCGCAATGTGATATCCTTGATAGGACCCCAGAACAGAAAAAGGATATTATGGAAAAACTGGAGGAATGGAATAAATTATGAAGTTTATTAATAATGTACTAATGTCCTTAGTTATGATGACTGTACCATGGTAATGTAGTAGAGAAATGTAATAGAGAAAACTGGGTAAAGAGTATACAGTAACCCTATACTATCTTCGCAGTTTTTTTGTACATTTAAAACTTCTAAAATAAAGAATAAATTTGAACATTAAAAAGTATCACCAGAAACATGTATTACTGTTTACAGATAAAACAGTATGCATTTTCATATCTAATTTCTGATCATTGACTTCATATCAGAAAACTAAATGACACATTAAAGTCAGATTTTCTGTTCATTAAATAAGTCTAAGAAAACAAAGTGTACCAGCTGGAGAGATTCATGTTTATAAAGACAGATTTACAACAACAACAAAAAAAATCCAAGAATAAATTTAAGAAGAAATGGGGCCCTATGTAAAAAGTATAGCACTTTACTGAGAAACATATGGAGACCTGAATAAATGGAGAGATATATTTTATATTTGAATAGAAGGACTACTGGTTTGAAGAGAATTCTCTTTGTATTATTTTTTGTAGAAATTTAAGGGGTACAAGAGCAGTTTTGTCACATATTACATAGTGGTGAAGTCTGGGGTCTTAGTATAAATTAATCTTTACATTTAGTTTGAACCCAATAAATGTACCAACATGATTTTTATAGCAAGATAACCATTCCTAGAACCCCAAAGTTGGCCCAACTTTGAAATAAATTGAGGCACAGCTACCAGGTGTTCCCATTGCTGAGGCATCTGAACATTAAGCATATGCCTCTGAGAACCAGCCTGCATTGATACTCTTTCTAATGTGGACAGCATCAAGCTATGTATCTAGTTCTGTTCTCAACAAAAGCCCTGACTTCTTTTTTGCTTATGACCTAGCCCCATACCACAAAATCAACCAAAGAATTTTGGTTGTGGATCCAGTCACTTCTGAATACGAACTAACATGTCAGGCTGAGGGCTATCCCAAGGCCGAAGTCATCTGGACAAGCAGTGACCATCGAGTCCTGAGTGGTAAGACCACCACCACCAATTCTGAGAGAGAGAAGAAGCTTTTCAATGTGACCAGCACACTGAGAATCAACACAACAGCTAATGAAATTTTCTACTGCACTTTTAGGAGATTAGATCCTGAGGAAAACCATACAGCTGAGTTGGTCATCCCAGGTAATATTCTGAATGTGTCCATTAAAATATGTCTAACACTGTCCCCTAGCACCTAGCATGATGTCTGCTTATCGTGGTCATTCAGTATTTTTGAATAAATGAATGAATGAATAACACTATATTTATAAAATGTATCCTCATTGCTCACCTCCATTCATCCAAATCATATTGTTACATAATAAACATTCAGCAGGTATTTGTTGGATGTGCCTTTTGTTCCATGTGTTAGTACTCATTGGATACACATAGAATAAGACTCAGTTCATACTCTTCAAGAAACAGATAAAAAACGAATGAACAAACAAACAAAAAACAGGCAATTCAATACCATGTGGGAAATGTTCTTTCATAGCTGGAAAACCTGGGGGAATACCTGAGAGGAATACTCAATTCAGGCCATGTTTCAGGAATCCAAATCCTAGGACATCCAAGCTGCTTCTTTCTTTCCAGGGTTTCTGTGGTAGGAAATAAATTGAACGTATTTTTCTATCTTATGCCAAACAGGAGGGATCCTTTCTCCCCTGTGCCTCTCCCAAGTAGTCTACGACATTTCAACACTAGCAGTCTGGTTAGTGGCCAGGTCATGAGGCTGTGTGTCCCTGGGAAAATTACTAGACTTCTGTGTGCTTCACCTTCCCCGTAGGATTATAACCTACTGAGCAAGGTTATTGTAGGGGTCAAATTAGCAAATGTGTGAAAATGATATGAAACCATTGCCTGCGCAAATTCAACTATTTTTTTTTAATCTTCCTACTCTACTGAAGTAGGTAGGGTGGGAGACAGAGTCTGATGAGAGGCTCAGAATGTAAAAGAAAGTGAGGTGGGTGAGCATGATATTTAATATAAACATAAAGATATTCAGAGAAGAGCTTCTCACTGCCCCTTCCCCCCATAGACGTTGATACGAAAATGCCATGTACTTCAGCAAAAATAGCTGAAAAATTTGATAGAAATTCAATCAATACGAAAAGATAATCCAGGATGGTCTTGTGAACAGACAGAGGGAAAAAAAAAAGTTTAGAAAATGAAGGGGATGCTCTTACTAGGGTATGAGTCCTTAGTACTCAATTGACTTTCAGTAAAAACTAGATTAGTGGGTTCCTGTCATTTAAAAGCTTGTTTTATGACAACTTATCTGTTGGTTGGTCTATAATAACTCACTTAACTGTGCATAGTCTGTCTCCTCATCTGTAAATTGGGGATTTTTTTTTTAAATACCTGGCATGCCTAACTGATAAGTTGTTCTGAAACTGAAATAAAATACATATGAACAGGCATTGTAAAGTGTAAGTTGTAGAAAAGGCTGGCTGTTGTTGTGTCTTTAAAGCTTCAGCTGGGTAGTTAGAGATGGATCATGGGTCTCAGTGGAGAGTTGAGCCAGGCAGGAGCTGACTAAGGGTGAGAGGTGGGAGTTCACAGCCTCTGAACATCTGTGTGCCTTGGTACCCCTTTTCCTCCTGCGTGGGACCCCAGACAAGGAGCGTAGTAAGAGATACCAGTGACTAGTTGTCCAGAGATGTTCAAACTGCAGAGAAAGATAAGACAATAAGCACTGGTCTCCAATCATGACCACAGATAGGAGGAGGTGGGAGCTCCTTAGCAGTTCTGGTTGGCCTTCCATGTTCTACTCTGCCATGTACACTAGGCTACTAGCTTCCATATTAAAGAATGCCAGAGGGGCCAGGAGCCTGTAATCCCAGCACTTTGGGAGGCTAAGGTGGGCAGATCACTTGAGGTCAGGAGTTCGTGACTGGGCTGGCCAACATGGTGAAACCCCACCTCTACTAAAAATACAAAAATTAGCCAGATGTGGCAGTGTGCACCTGTAATCCCAGCTACTTGGGAGGCTGAGGCACAAGAATCACTAGAACTTGGGAGGCAGTGGTTGCAGTGAGCCAAGATCGCACCACTACTCCAGCCTGGGCAACAGAGCAAGATTCTGAGAAAAAAAAAAAAAAAAGAAAGTGAAATAATCAAGGCCATCATTTAATACTGAGTAGCTGCTCCATGTGGTACTATGCTAAGCACTTTATACATTTTAGCCTCACAATAAATGTATTAACATTTGCATTTTGTACACTGGTTAAGTCACTTGCCCAAGACCTCAAAATTGGTTAAGGGCAGCAGAATTTAGCCCCAGCTCAAAGCCTGGGCTTCTTCGACTTCTCTATGTTGTTTCCATTTTAACAGAGGTATCTTACCATTCCAGCCACTCAAACTTTGGCATTTAAGAAAATTAATCTAAAGCTAAACTAAACTTCAAGGATGACTATTCTCCTGACCCCTTCCCATCAAAATTTTATCTTTAGTCAGTTTCTTTTTGTTTTGTTTTGTTTTTCAGAACAACCTCTGGTACTTCCTCCAAATGAAAGGACTCACTTGGTAATTCTGGGAGCCATCTTGTTATTCCTTGGTGTAGCACTGACATTCATCTTCTATTTAAGAAAAGGTAGTATTTCCTTTTGCAGTGGTCTCCCTGGGAATGAGAAGGGGGTGAGAATTGGATCAAGGCTGCAAGGAAACCTGACTTAACCTCTGCAAAATGGTGCAAAAGCATTCCACTATTCAACAGCAATTATATTAAAGCTGAGTAGGATCACTGGGTGAAGATGAAGTGTAAGGGGTGAGGGGTAGGAGGATGGGTGTGGATGGAGGTGGAAGAAGATGCAGTGTCATATAATTTTTTCTTTCATGCAAATTACCATAGACTTTCAGAAGAGAAAGGACTAAAATGCCTGTCATTTTCAGTTACATTTTAGTTTTGCATTAGTTGCACCCAGCTGATTTCTGGGTACCCTAAGTAACAAAAATAGTTCCTCCACAGAGCTGTACTTTTTTACTATAGAGTATTTTGCAAAATGTACGGTAGAGGGTGTTACGTAATTTGCATGTGTTCATTTCTCCATTTACCTGTGGGAACAATTAAAATCCAGGAAAATGAGTGTATTCAAATAATTTCCTCCCATTTAAGACAATTCAGAGTAAATAATTCCTCCAATACTTAGAGAAGTATAACAAGAGATCCAGTGACAGTATAGAGTTGTCTGATGTTAAATAGGGAAGTAGAATATGGAAGGGAATTCCAATAGTCATTGAAAAATTCCCCACAACTCCTTATGTGGGGAAAAGTAGTGTTAACTGAGAGAGTAGAGATGAGCTATTTCCAAAAATTACTTTCTTAACAGAACCGAGATAGCGAGAATATAAGGATCAAGTTTCAGTGCCAGTAAGATCCTGAGATGGAGTTGATTTATGCAAAGAAATCATTGTTGCCAGCTTGCATTTTGAATATTTCTCTGGAAAAAAAGATTAGTTGCTAGTAGAAATGGCTAGAAATCAATAGATAATAAAATACCTCAAAATTTGGTCCATCTCTGGGGAAAAGATGATAAATAAAAGTATATAGTCCTCAAAAAGAAATCTAGGATCAAAAGCATGTGCCCTACACTGTTGAATTAATTAACCTCAGAAGTTGGGAGCTGTGGAATAAGGATGTCCACCAGACTTCCTAGGGATTACAAATGTTTCTTAGAACTTGCAATGTAAACTTGGATCACTGTATTGGATGTAGAGCTGTGCTATATGGAAATAAAAATTATTTCTTTTTTTTCAAGGGAGAATGGTGGATGTGAAAATATGTGGCATCCGAGATACAAACTCAAAGAAGCAAAATGGTAAGAATATCAGAAGGGACTGGGAAGTAGAAGGCAAAGGAAACAAAATGGTAAAACAATAACAAGGAGGAATCCATCAGTCATAATCTCCTCTCCTTTTAAAGAATGCTGGTTCCCCTTTGCCTCACAACTAATACAAGAACTCCTCCCTCCATCTGAGGAGGTCTAGGGATGGCCTTCTAGAGTAGAGAGTGGGGAGCAGCTCTGTGGAGAGAGGAGAGGAGCAGGGAAGTGGGAGGAGTCAGCTTCTCTTTGCTAAGCTTCTGTTGCCCTGCACCCTAGCATCTTCCTGCAGCAGGGGACAAGGTTGACTTAGGTGGATGGATAATTAACTGACTCTAAAATATTGTGTGTCAGTATTGTAATACTATGTTAACTGCACCATGCACGGTATCTCATTTAATCCCTCATCCCTTGCTACTAGCAAAGAGAGAGAGAGAGACTAGAATTATCCTTATTTTATAGTAGAGAAAACAGAGGGTCAAGAAGATAATGTAAAGTGCCTGAGAACACACAGATGAAGACAAAAATCAAGCTTGGGGGCCATTAGCCTAACCATAGACCCTTACTCTTAACCCATCTGCTTCAATCCATTTTGCTACAAATGTCTACAATTATAAGCAGGACAGAAAAGCCTCACCCACTTTTTGAACTAAGAAGAAAGTTATATTAAGGTTTCTAATTTTTTTAATGCATTTAGAAAGCAAACTTAACAAGAAGCCCAAGTTTAAAGCAGTCTAATTAAGTTGGACAACCTCAGGCAAGTTTCATTCTGTGGCCCATAGCATCATTTGTGTTGTAAAGCTAAGTGGCAAATGTTGTTTGGGTCATGCTGGGGACCAGCCATCTCAATTTGCTCAGGACCAAGGGGTTTTTCAGGATATCAGATTTTCAGTTTTAAAACCAGAAAAGTCCCAAGCAAATCATTCACCCTTTATCATGTAAGAATAATTGGGCACAAATACAACTTGCTTCTTTTCTCTCACTTCAAATTTATCATTTATCATATCAGCAGCTATGAGTTATGTTTTTTATTAGATTTTTTGTTACTTTTTCCCAAGACCACTCCCTGTAAAATTAATATACTATTATCACTTTCCAGATACGCAATTGGAGGAGACGTAATCCAGCATTGGAACTTTTGATCTTCAAGCAGGGATTCTCAGCCTGTGGTTTGGGAGTTCATCAGGGCTGAGCATGATCAGAGGAATGAATGGGCCCGTAGGATGCAGGCAATGTAGGATTTAAAAGGCCCAAGCACTGAAAATAGAACCTGGCGAAAGCAGAGGAGGAGAATAAAGAAAGATGGAGTCGAACCAGGAGCCTGGAGGGAGACCTTGGTACTTTCAAATGACTGAGGGGCTCACTCATGCATGTGAAAGGGAGAAAGGATACTTCTGAACAAGGAGCCTCCAAGCAAATCATCCATTTTTCATCCTAAGAAAACAGGTTGAGAATCCCTAATTTGAGGGTCAGTTCCTGCAGAAGTGCCCTTTGCTTTCACTCAATGCCTCAATTTGTTTTCTGCATGACTGAGAGTCCCAGTATTGGAACAGTATTTATGTATGAGTTTTTCTATTTATTTTGAGTCTGTGAGGTCTTCTTGTCATGTGAGTGGTGTTGTAAATGATTTCTTTTGAAGATATATTGTAGTAGATGTTAAAATTTTGTCACCAAACTAAACTTGCTGCTTAATCACTTGCTCACATCCAGTAAAACATGGAGTATTTGTAAGGTGCTTGGTCTCTATAACTGGAAGTACACATTGGAAGCATAAAAATCAAACTGTTGGTTTGTATAGGATGTCACATTTATTTAACCCATTAATACTTTAGTTGACTTAATCTTATTCTCAGACCTCAAGTGTCTGTGCAGTATCTGTTCCATTTAAATATCAGCTTTACAACTATGTGGTACCCTACACACATAATCTCATTTCATCCCTGTAACACCCTGTTGTGATAACCACTATTATTTTACCCATTTTTCAGCTGAGGAAGCAAACAGATTAAGTAACTTGCCCAAACCAGTAAATAGCAGACCTCAGACTGCCATCCACTGTCCTTTCAGGATATAATTTACAGCTATATTTTACTTTAAGCAATTCATTTATTCAAAAACCATTTATTAAGTACCCTTGAAATATCAATCACATGCCAGGCATTGAATCTACAGATGTGAGCAAGACAAAGTAACTGCCCTCAAGGAGCTCATAGTATAATGAGGAGATTAATAAGAAAATGTATTATTTTAATTTAGCCCAGTGTCATACCATAAGGATAACGTGAGGAGAAAAGCCAAGCAGTGTTGCCAAGAGGAGGAAATAGGCCAGTGGGGTCTGGGACAGTTGGATATACTTAAACATCTTAATAATCAAAGCAATTTTAGTTTACAAGGAGAGGTCAGTACTTAAAATAACTCTGGAAAATAACACTGGAATTCCTTTTCTAGCATTATATTTATCCCTGATTTATTTGCCTTTGCCATACAATCTGATGCTTGTTTATATAGTGTCTGGTATTGTTTAACAGTTCTTTCTTTTCTCTTTAAATGCTATTAAATTTTAAATTCATACCCTTCCATGATTCAAAATTCAAAAGATCTCATGGGAGAAAGTTTGAAAATCTCCACTTCATCCTCCAAGCCATTCAAGTTTCCTTTCCAGAGCAACTGCTACTACCTTTTATTCATGTTTTCTTCTAAAGATGGTCTACATTTGGAAATGTATGTTAAAAACACATATTTAAAAAAATTTTTTTAAATCTTTAAATGTGTAGTAACACATTATATGTCTGCTGTGCACTTTACTATTTTTATTTATTATAGTGTTTCTTATGCAGTAGATGGAGTGAATTTCAAAGTCCCCAGGGGTCAGGACCCATGTCTTCTTTGTTTCTAAGTCATCTTTCCCATAACCTTTTATTATCTTTCATATGATTTATTACCTGTTAAATATGTGCTACATATATATCTAGACGGCCAGCATTTGTTAAGTATTTGCTTTAGGACTGAGTTTGGATTTGTTTATGTTTGCTCAAAAGGAAACCCATGGGCTCTCAAGGGTGCACTGAGTCAATCTAGTCCTAAAAAGCCATCTTATTATTAACTCTGTATGACAGAATCATATCTGGAACTTTTGTTTTCTGCTTTCTCTTGAGTATAAACTTCACTTTGATGCTGTACTTGCAAAATCACATTTTCCTTCTGGAAATTCCAGCAGTCTACCTTGACTGCTAGCTACCCCGTGCCAGAAAAGCCTCATTCATTGTGCTTGAACCCTTGAATGCCACCAGCTGTCATCACTACACAGGTCAACTAAGAGGATTTCTGGAGCTTTTGAGATTCAGATGCTCTGGAAGATCCCAGTGTTTCCCTTCCCTCTTGTCCATATTCTGGCTTTGATGACAAGGAATGTCTTGGCTTTGCCACACGTCAAGGCTGAAGAAACAGAATCTCCAACAGAGCTCCTTGTGTTATCTGTTTGTACATGTGCATTTGTATAGTAATTTGTGTGACAGTGTCCTTTGTGTGAATTACAGGCAGGAATTGTGACTGAGCAAGACACACAATCTGCCCAGTCTATTCCTAAGTCCTAACTCCTTCTTGTGTTGGATTTGTAAGGCATATCCCTTTTGTCTCAGTTTCATTGTAAATGGCATAGGCAGAGATGATATCTAACTCTGCATTTGATTGTCACTTTTTGTACCTGCATTAATTTAATAAAATATTCTTATTTATTTTGTTACTTGGTACAACAGCATGTCCATTTTCTTGTTTTCTTTGTGTTTCATAAAATGCTCAG